CTCTCTCTCTCTCTCTCTCTCTCTCTCTCTCTCTCTCTCTCTCTCTCTGTTCTCTCTCTCTCTCTCTGTTCTCTCTCTCTCTCTCTCTCTCTGTTTCTCTCTCTCTCCGTCTCCCTCTCTTCCTCTCCTTCTAGGCGGACGATCTCGACTCCGGGTCGATCGATCGCGCGATCGTGAACCCGGCCCTCCGCTCGGAACCGCTCGCGTCCGATCGTCCGGTCGGCGTCCCTCCCCCTCCCCCTCCCCGTCCCCGTCCCCGGAAAGGGAACACCAACACCGGATCGGGCACGCTCCGGAGATTTCCGTTTCCACGGGAGAGAATTACGGACGTCGGACACTAGATCCGGATCTTCCCATCCGCGTTGCGTTACGCTCTCTCTGCGCTCGGAGCGCGGGGGGTCTATTTGCGCTTTCTGCGTGCGCGGAGGAGACGCGGTGGTGCCGCGCGAGCCGCGGAGGGAGAAAGAGGGAAGAAGAAGCCGAGTGCGTGGAGGAGATATTATAACTATAGCTGGAGGAGAGCGTTCTCTTCCGCGTCGATTACACCTTTCGCGGCTGCTCCTCTCGGCGGGCTCGTTTTCGAACTCCGGCCCTCCCGTATACGTTTTTCTGGTAGCGTAAACGCGAAAGAGGACGGGAGGGACGCGATTCGATCGCGGAATTCGTTGCAGCTGACTCGCACGCGCGAGCCAAGACTCGGCGAATCTTCAGTCTCTCGGCTCGCTCTCGTGCCCTCTCCGGGCCGAGTCTCGTGCGCGCACCGGGACAGCGAACAGAAAGGAAGGGGAAGAGGGGGGGGGGGGAGAAGGCGAAAAAAGAGAGAAAAACAGGTGCGGAGGAAACGGCGCGGATAGGAAGCGTGTAAAGAAGGCCCGACGAAACAAGTGTACTCGGGCGTCGAAGGGCTCGAAAGGGGGGTGGAGCGCGCGGGAGAGGCGGCCGAAAGCAGGGCCCCCTCCGTTACCTTATCGTCCGCTCCGCCGCGAAATCTTCCCCCTCGCGTCCCCCCTCGCGTCCCCGATCTCACCTGTTACGCGACGGCGATCCCCTCCCCTCCCGCTGCTCCTACACGTTCGTCGTCGCGGGCCCCTCGATCCCATTAAGCGCGGTCGCGAGAGACGGACGAGGGGCGCGCACAGGCCGGACAGACTCGGACTCGCGCCAGTTTTATCGCGAACTCGTTCCCCAGGTAGAGACGCGCGGGAGAGACCGGCGCTCTCTTCCTCTCCGACCGGGTCCGCCGCGGGCCGAGGAGTCCGCGAGGCGCGAATTCCGCGCGCGGAACGTGAGTTAGTTTCACGTCCCTAAGGTCCAGTTTCACAAGCGTCGGTTAACTGTTAACCAGAGTTCAGTCGACTTCCTATCTTTCTCTATCTTGTTATCCAAGAAGGGACAGAGGATCAATTAACCATGGGTTAGCGGTTAAACGACGTTTGTGAAACTGGGCCCTAAAATGCCCACGGTTAAATCCCGGCGCGCGTTTCCCCGCTCGCTCCTAAATTCCCTTTCTCACTTTCAGAGTCCCCTCCTCATCTGTTAACGAGGCGGAGGAGCCTGTCCTTGCCGTCGTCGCCGTCGCCGCCGCCGCCGCCGCCGCCGCCGTCGGTCGCGATCCCATAAACGCGCACCGCGAGAGAGAGAGACGGTCCTTCGCTGGAATACTAATGACGCACGGATAGTCATTTATGGCACGGCCACGCATTCCGCGTAGAAGCAGGAAGGAGCCCGTCTCCCGACGCTCGGAGCACCTTCAGACGGGGAAGTCCCGCGGAGTGTCGGATATTCGCCTTTCGGCGTCCCTCACGGAGGACCGGCCGTGAGACGGGTCGCACGTCCTCTCCTCGTCTTTGTGCGTCTCTCGCGTCCGAATCGCGCCGGAGCTGGAGCGTGTACCCAGGGCACAGCGGGCGACTACGCGTGTCGCGCGAGGATCCACGTGGAGAGAAAATCCGTACGTTAATCGCAAGATTATTGTGGACACCCGAACCGAAGCGTCGTACAGTGATTTGCACCTGGTGCTCGAGCGAAACGCCAGTTTTCCCTCCCCCCCCAATCGTCCGCGACAATTTGCTTCCTTTTAAATTATTTCCTCTAATCTCCGCCACGCGGAAAACGTTCGCCGGTTGCATCTCGTAAATTTTGCAGCGCCCGTGCAGCGCGCACCGCGAGGATTAAGTCGTTAATACGACGGCTCCGACGGATTAGGTGCAATTACGGCGCGCGTGCGCTCTCTCGAACGCGCTCCTCGCGCCGAGCGGGGCGCGGAGCGGACAACCACTGCTTTGGAATTCGGCTTCTTTATTTTTACGAGAGGTAACATCGGGAACCAGCCTCTTTGCGGCCCTTCTCACCTGTTACATACCACCGCCATTTACGCTACCATTTAACCAGAAGTTAAGAGTCTCCTCGTACATAAAACACGGCGGAGGCCGCCGTCGCGCCGATAATCCGCCTGCGCTCGCGCTCAAATCCTTTTCCCTCCGCCCCCTTGCCTCCCTCATTTCCTCCTTTTTCTCCCGGTCTCCGCGCCCCTCGTTCTCCCCGTCTTTTTTTTCCCTCCCTCCCTCGAGTTTATTCACTGGAAATGCCGAATTTGAGATCGAGACGCGCCCGTTTAACATTCCCTCGTTGCCGCGCTTCCTTTCCTTCCTCCTTTATTTTATCGAGCGCCGATTTCTCGTGCTACGTGTTAAAGTAAACGGGCAGAGGGCGGAGGAGCGTACGACTTTGGGAATTTTTATGAAATCACGCCGTATAGAAAGCTATGAATATTTAAAGCTCCTCTGGTTATCTTACTTTTCGCAACAGATAGCACTGAACGAGAATTCCTAAATGTGATTATTATGTTAATAACTTTTTCTCTCTGTCTATCAGTCGACATCGACTCCCATTTGTGCGCGCGCCGTATAGATGTTAGTGTGATATTAATTAAAAATGAGTGTTGAAGTCTTTCGTTAATTTGAATCGAAAGAGAAGACGCATCGTCATTTCAATCACTCGGATTACGCGTACAGCGCCGGCGAAAGGGATTGTAGTAATTAAACGACCATTGTATTAACATAGTCATTGCGCGTTGAACAGGTTCGAGAGGGACGTACCTCGTGCGCCAAACGTCTTAGATCGGTTTTCACCAACGTCGTTCAACTTTGATCTTAGTGTCAATCTATCCTTTGTCTCCCTCCAAGTTCAGCTTAATTCATTCTTCGTCCCTTTCCAGCTGTCACTTTAGAAAGAGACAAGCATGAATTAAACCGAGATCGAAGTTAAGCGACGTTCGGTGCAACCGGGCCTTAAGATCAAAGTTAAACGTCGGTGAAAAAACACTTCAAATCCAAGTGCGTAAGTTTCGCGCGTGTAAGGCCCGGTTTTACCCACGTTGTTTAACTTTGTGCTTAGCTTAATTCGTTCTTTGTCTCTCTCCAACTGTTACTTCAGAGAAACATGGGCTAAGATTAAAGTTAAGAGACGTTTGGCGAAACCGGGCCTAAATCGTGATGCCTCTTTTTACACATTTATACGTGTGCAATGTTTACACACTCAAGTGTAAAACCGTAAAAATAACACGCATATAAATACGTAAAAAGGGTTTTACGACTTACACACTTGTGTGTGTGTGTGTGTAAAAATTACGCACTTGGACTCGCAGTGAACCGGGGGTCGCTTCGCCGAGGGACCGCGTTCTCGCTCGCGCCAGGCTTTCCCGCGGTCGGGAAAACTGCGTCGGCGCGGCAGTCTCGGATACATTAAAGCGGCCGTGCGAATGCCGTAGTACGACGTCGGGACCCGTGATGTGAATGGGTATACCTACGCGCGCCGCAGCTCGGCGAAAAAGAATTATTACCGCCGCTCTTCGCCATCGCGGGCGCGCCGCGCGCGAGTATATGGTTTTCTGATGGCCTCGCGCGCGCGCACGTGGGTGTAAAACGGTTCGCGCAATGAACGGCAGCTTTCGACGCCGTATATGGATATTTTCTAGACAGCCACGCGTCATCCAGCCTCGCCACCGACTCCCTTTCCTCCGTTATTATCGCGCGGAAAGCAAAAACCCGTTACGTTTCATTGCTCTCGTTATCGTTTCGCCGTTCGCGGCTCGCGCAAGGTTTGTTCTCGCGTTCGCGCGCCTTTTCTTCCCCTTTATAAAGTTCGCCGAATGTAATAATCCTTGGGAACGCAGATTCTAAGGGCTGCAATGGGAAAATGATTTTACCGAACTGTACACTCAAGTAGAACATACTAGTCGTGATGGCATCGAGATGGCATCATTTTTTGATCATTTTTTATGCATCATGATGACGTCAAAAGAGCCCACCGAGAGCACCTACTTGTGACATCATTAAGACATCAAATTGTTGTAAAAATGACCTTGTTTTACAAGGCAAAGTTAATTAAATATTATATATTAAAAATAAATTGAAGTAATATAAGATAAACAATATATGACTGACCATGTAATCTGCGATAATGAACAGCATGTTATAAATCAGTCATTGCAAAGTCATTTTATGACGTGAAATTCATCATTTTAATGTCGCATTGACGTTTTTGTGACTAACTCGTTCTACTTGGGTAACGGCCTCACAGGCGCTGCTCTTTCCTATATATTTTTATAGATAGAGAGTCCCCTTTTATGAGATAGGCTGCTAATACGAGATCGCATTTCTGCTAAATTAATAATCATCTGTTCGCTCTAAAAGTCAATCGGTGAATTATCCCTGAACATAGTGAATAGTTACTGAATTTGCAGTTACAAGCGTACCACTGAAAGTCGCAATGTATACTTGTAACTTTAAATCAGTGACTATTCACTGTTTTCTGTGATAATTCATTGATTGACTTTTAGAGAGTTGGTTCTACCGTGTGGCCCTTGGAGCCTGAAGAAATCTGGTGAAAAATTCACTGTACAGATCGCGCGTGTAATCGTGGCGAGAAAGAAAAGCTGGACGTTGAAAACCCGCCGTCTTATATTAGGAGCCTATCTAATGATAGGGGACTCTCCTCTAATTGTTATCCGTTTTTCTAACTTTCAGAATGATGTGCGCTGCACTTTGTCGCGCCACGAGTCTTTCGTCGCGCGTGCAATTTATAATTGCTCCAAGACGGACCGTCATTGTCATCGCGCGCTTTTAATTCAGGATGAACGGCGCGTTCTATTTTCACGTGGACTCGTGGCGTTCTAAACTTAAGCGGCACGCTCGCTCGGTATTAATTTTAGTAGGTCTTCGCCGGCACTCCGCGTGCCGCATATTCGCCCTCCCGCGGGCGAAGGACCGCGGAAAAACAAGCAGCGGCGCGTGCGAGATGCCTGGTTAAGCGTAATAGCGCCGTCTTCTTTCGTGCTTGCAGAATGTGTCAAGATGACATCTATCTCCTCTTTGTGTGGCATCGTCGTCATCCTGCTCTACAGTCCGGTCGCGTACACATGCGGTGAGCGTCTTCGAGACGGCGTTACGTAAATACACCTCCGTATACCGTTTCGGGGAGAGTAACAATGTAATGCTTTTGTCATTCGCAACAGAGGCCGACAATAAGCTGGAGTCGCGTATGACCTTTACCCGACACCCGCAGCTGCTGGCCGCCCCGCTGAATGACGAAGTGAACTTCGAGTGCAGCCTCAGCCTCCCCGCGGATCAATTCTTTTGGCACCACCGGCCTCTGGACTCAAACAAATGGACGCTGGTGCACAACTCCAACGGGACTGGCAAAACGGCGCGGCTCGTCGTCACCTTCGACAACGAGTCGAAGGCCGGAGACTACCGTTGCATCGCGTTCTACGGTGAGAATCACCGCGGAAATTAATACTTGACGCAATCGCAAAACAGTATCAGGATTGTAGGGTGGCGTTCATAGTCAGATCTCACATTTAAGATCGCAAAGATACTCCGTAGCCGATGGAATGTCCCATACAGCAGCTCAAGATGAACCTAATGCCTGTTCTACACCCAGGGATGATCCTACTTGTGGCTCATCCGAGTGGAGAAGTTTACACGGACATTTTAGTACGACTATCATACTAAGTATGGTTTTTGTATGATTCCACTATGATTTTTAACCGTCTTCTTATGTAGAAATGGCACCCGAGTCTATAAACGGCCCCAATACGACGATCTTTGTCCATTAATTTTATTCACTCGGACCCTTAGGTGTGGAACGGGCGTAAGACGGCCTTAAATATAAGATCTGACTATGAGCACCGGCCGCACTGTCTGCGATAGAGCAGTCCTTGGCTGCGCACCTCGAGAGATCGTGTACAATCTTCCTTAATTTCCCTCAGGTATCAGCGGTCTAGTGTCGGACCCAGCGAAACTGACGCTCGCGACGATGCAAAGGTTCTCCGATAAGAACGACGTCATCATCGAGGTAGCGCAGGGTAACACCGTGCCCATCACGTGTCCCGTACCGTATTCCGAGCCGGAGGCCATAGTGCAGTTCTACAAGAACGGCGCGCTCATCGAGAACGTGGAGTTGGTGAACGGCAGGACCATGGTCCTCAAGAACGTCAGGGTGACGGACAGTGGCTCGTACCACTGTAGCGTTAACAATTACATAACGGTGGTGACGTACACGAGCAACCACAAGACCATCCTGAAGGTACACACCAACACGACGTTCCAGCGGCCGTATCTCACCAAGCAGCTGCAAACGGAATACGTCGTTACGCGCGGCAAGAACGTCACGTTGGAGTGTTTCGGCGCTGGTTATCCGGTGCCGCGCGTCACTTGGAGCCGCCTGGGCGGCTCTCTGCCGTCAAAGTCGTTGAAATCGCCCAACGGTTTGACGTTAGTGCACGTGCAGCTGTTCGATCGCGGGGAATACGATTGCGTATGGAGCAACGAGGGCAAGCCGATGAAGTCGGCGATTATCTTGAGGGTGGTGGAACCACCGAGGGTCACGTGGCAGTCGAACACGTGCGAGTTCCACGAGGGCGGGAAGTTGGAGCTCTCGTGCGACGTACAGGGCGAGCCGCAGCCGAGCGTCGAGTGGCTCATCAACGGGGAGACTTTGGTGTCCAGCAAGACGCAGGAGATGACAGGCTCCACTCTTCGCATATCCGACGTCGAGAAGAGGCACGCCGGGATCGTTCAATGCGTCGCCACCAACGACTACGGATCGCACTCGGGGTACGAGATTTTGCAGGTACAACCGAAGCAGCACGTTGTCGGCGAGATCGGTCCGAGGATGAACGACAAGGCCGAATCGAAGCCGGACTACGGGACCGTATCGAGACACAAGCACACCAGAGGCGGCGGTAGACGCAGAAAGGAAGGAAAGAAGAAGGGAGGCGCAGGTAGTTATTTGCTTGTGTTATCGACGTTTCGTGCGTTTGCTTATCATTTTATCAAACGTTTGATTCAGATACCGCCGCTTAAATCCTTTCAGCACGGTTTCCTCTTTCGTGAAAAAATCTTAAGACTCGTAATTTTTGTCGGGCGTGAAATTAAAAAGCATAATTAATTTAATATTATTCTCACGCTTCGGACTGACAATGAGATTTTCAGTTGAATGTAAAACCACGTCAAGAAACCGAGCAAATTTGAAAAAAATTGTAATACGATTTTCAATTTCATTTCATCCAATGTTATTTTTATATCCATTTCTCAATTTTACTTGTGAATATAATTTCGGGTCCCTGTATTAAATAGCTAGCATCCAGATTAATATATTGAATGCAAAGCAGTAAACTAATTAGACTGAGGTGCTTTCCGTCATTATCTCTTTGAACTGTGCCTCTGCTCACTGCCCGTCATGGGCTCAATGGTGTAGCCTTTGATGGACAAATGCTGTCACTTCAATGTACGAAGTTCAATTAATTGATGTACAAGTAAAGCGAATGACTGTGAAGGATTGCATAAATATATACAATAGAATTGCCACGTGGTCGCACATTTAATTATGTATAATTTATTAACTTCAGCTTACAGCCAAGAAGTGGACTTGATTTACAATATGTTCTTCATTCATTCTTACATACTCATTTCCACCCCCCCCTGTTTTCATCCTTGCATGTTGTGACTAGTATTTCTAATTGCTTTATTTACTTACTTAGTTTACTTGCATTTGAAACCTAAATTTAACAATTCTAAGCTTAGCTTTATTCTATATAAAATTTTTAGCCTATTTGTACGTACACTCGTATGGATCTTATATTCCTTATTTATACTTCACTAGTCTTATATGGTTACACATTTAATTGCCTTTCATATTCCACACGTTTCGGATTCTTAAATTCTATTACAGCTTTTTATGTTTGAAGCGAAAAATTGACTTCTCTCTTCGTGGTCGTTGCAGCGGCAGTGGTTTTGGTACCACCGGATCAGCCCAACGTCACAAGATTGTCCGACGTCTCCGTCATGGTGCGATGGTCGGTGCCGGAGAACAAAGGTCTGGCGATACAATTCTTCAAGGTCCAGTACCGTGAGATCGGTCCGAAGATGAACGGTAAACAGCCCAAGTGGATGACGGCCAACTCGGAGATACCGAATTACATGCGATCGTTCGAAGTGACCGAGTTGCAGCCCGATCACACCTACCGATTCAGGATCGCGGCGGTGTACTCGAACAACGATAACAAGCTGAGTCCGAATTCCGTGCGTTTTCATCTCAACAGGGATACCGGTATTGAGAGTAATAAAATGCCAATACCCTTGTTGACCAACACCGAGGCGTTGGGGCCGCATCAGGTGTTGCTGGTCTGGCAGAATCCCGACGGGTCGGCGAAAATCGACGGGTTCTACATATACCATCGGGCCTCCACGTCGGCCGGCGAATATTACAAGACCACCGTCGAGGGGAAAAGCGCCTTCAACATGACCATTTCCCACCTGCTACCCGACACTACGTACGAATTCAAAGTCCAGAGCTTCTCCATTGACGCGGCCTCGGAATTTTCCCAGATATTACGGCAGAAGACTAAGAAGCCCATCGTGGAGCATCCGGTCGAGCAAGTGGTGGCGGAAAATAAGTTGAGACCGAGCGAGAGTAACAAGAATGTCAGTATACACGTAATAGTCGGTGGGGTGTTCGGAGCGTCGCTCATTCTGATCGCCCTCGCCTTCGCGGCGAGATTTCTGTACAAAAGAGCGAAGTACAAGCAAAGTCAGGAGTCGCAAAGCGAAGGTACGTGAATTTAACGAGTGTCGATAACGCGCGTTCCTCGCGTAATCGTGAACGCGAATAACATTCTCTTCCCCTTTGACGAAGCAGGTAAACCGATCACGAACGGACGAGTAATGAACGGTGGAGTCACAGACTCCAAGATCAACATTACGTCCAATCCGCTCGCCGGCCTCGACACGTCCGAGGATATAATGCAGCCTAAGGTCAGTATTTGTAAGTAACAACGTCTGCACTTTTATTTCACCGGAAGAAAGTAACGGAACTGAATTCGGCCGGTCGGCATTTTGTCCAACGGGATTCGATACCGAGACTCATCGAATTTCGTTCTCGGGCTCTCTCCGCGCGCAACAATTTTTGCGCGCTCGATCTCTCTTGGAAAAGATACAGTTGCTCGCCTTTGATCAGTCACTTACTTTCCTCCCGGGAGTCAGTACGATTCTAGACGAGCGCGGAAAATCCGTTAGTCGCGTAGAAAAGGATTCCACCGTTTTAATTGAAGCTACGAATTTAATTCGAGGCCACTTAGCGAGATGTTTTCAGCAGGACTGCTACGGGGACTCTCGCATTCGCTCGACATCGACTTCCGCTCTCGTCTAACAGCGTAAATCCGACATGAAATTGGCCGATATATTAAGGAGACTAGTCTTTTCTAGTTTTAGCATTGGTCGCGCGCTGCTCTTTAATTCTACTCGCTCTCTGCACTCTCTCTGGAGCCGCTTTTCTTTTGTTTTTCCGAACGCGACACACGCACGTTACCACTTACACGCTCTAGAATCTGAAAAAAGAAGCGAACGAACGAACGAACACGCATGTTTCTAAATCCAGAGCGGGCAACAGTCGTCGATGGAAATGACGTCGTTTCTAAACGGCCAAAACAACAATGGCAGCAACAACGGCCATAACAACGGCGACGCAGCCGGGTCTGACGTGAACGTCACGTCACATAGCGAGCCGTCGTCCCTGCGCCAAGGGCCGCTGCCTATCGAACAACGTTTGTGAGAATGATTGCAGCTATATCTCTATTTTATAGACGGTAAGAACGCGACCCGACCCGCATCCTCCAAGACGGAACGTTTACGCCGTTGATCAAAATCTACGAACCCGTTAACGAACTTTATCTCGCGGGGAGGAGCGCGTAAGGACTTGTCGACGAGTTATCTCAACGAGAAAACTTAACTTACAGACTGTATTTAACGTATTCAGCTATTATCGCAACGATGAGACTGTTGCAAGACATTTACAGGGTGTCTTAAGTAGATATGCTCAAATGTATCGCTACTGTAGATTGGGATTGATTTCGCGCAGCTTTGTCGCGCCCCCCCTATTTTTTTTTATATTCAGTATAATCGAGTATAGTATTGCGAAGACGGTATTTCACACGCCGAAATAGTCCCACTTTACGGTGCGTAATTAGAAGATAAAAAAAAGAAAACGATCTGATTGCATCCTACGACATATTTTATCTTTCGTTTTTCCCCTTCCGTTTGCAAGAAAAACGTTATCGAGACCCTTGTTGTCCGTCAAGTGGATGTGAAATTCAATTGATGTACCTGTGAAATAACTGTTACACATCCACTCGACGGTCGTAAACTAGTGAGCACTGAACAACGTTGTTTAGTAGTATTTTTTTTTTCTTAATCCCTTTCCGCGTTGTACAACACTTTTACATCGCTTTCGCGCAAACGGGCTACATTTTTAAGAGTTTTTGTAATAAAAGCTTACGTATCTTCACAGCACGTAACGTAAGGATACGCCGTACGTATAGTTACATTAACTATTCGCCAATGTTGAAATGCAGGTAGTGTCATCTTACGATAGAAAGTTATCAGTAAGCCTTTTTATAAAATAACGACGACATAATGGTTGAGTCATATATTGTTAACATTATCTTGGTGTGTATGCCTGTTATTTTTATATAAGTGTTTTCCTAGCTGCGACAGAGTGGTCGAGTAATTTATTACGAAATGACATCCACGATCAGCGCAATATTGCACGCTACGAAATTTCGGACGGTGAGTTTGTTCGTCGTCAAAATTATATGCATGTACGTGGGAACATGTTGTTTATATACTGCGAGAGAGAAAAGAGACGCGGTAAAATTATATTTTGATATAATTGGGTATTTATTCGTACGGGGCGGCAAAAGACGGAAATTGTATTGTAAATACGGGTTGTACAAAACACTTCCTAATAAACGTTTGGCGAACGTACTGCAATTCGCGAGTGAGTCGACAGCGGAGCTAGTGAAAATCTGCATTTGTACATACTAGGGTAGCATTCGAGCGACACGAATGAATACACGTGCCTTACACTCTTGCCTGAGGATAATGACGACGAGAAATAACGATTATTTATACACTTCTGTACATGTATACCATCATTTCTTGTGTACTTAATTTTTATAAAATAAATTATATTCGAAAGAAGAATGGGCGAAGGAAATGCAAGATACGCGCGCATGCCTGTACGAGAGCTTTATCAAACATTCCCGTTTAATTTAGCCTGACTGTACAATTATGTTTGAATATAACACGCTTTAAATACAACGATTGTGCGATTACGAATAAGTCATTGATGAAATACTGTTGCAGATCACTGTCGAGTGTGTCTTTGTAGCGAAACTATTTGCAGCTTCAATAGCGAAGAGAGCGACTCGCGACTTTTTATACGGTCACGTCAAAATCCAGGACAAAATTGTACTCTGTTTATGAACTTAATCGTCACGTGTTCGTATATGGAATTCTATTTATAAACGAAAGGAGAGTTTGCGTATCGTCACCAGTAGTGATTAAAAAATTGAGACGGGAAACTTGTAGTCAACCCAGCTGGCTAGTTAATTTATTAGTTTATTACACTACGTTTCGACCCTATTTTTACGAAGTGATTTGTAATTTTACTTCAAAACGTTAAAATTACCATTCAATATGGAATTATGTTTCCGTTAGATAGTTTTTCAGTTTACTGTCCGATGTTAAAAATACATAATTTATTGTAACGTTCCCTTTAAGATAGTAATTTTACGGCACGCACAGCGTACTAGGATGATGAAATTCTCTATTGCGCACACTCCACTTTACTGAAATACTGCGATATCGCCAACGAAAAAGTAAAATTCCACGTCGGACTGTAAATTTATCGTATAGAAGTGAAATTTGAGCACACGCATGAAATGAACCGGAAGCTAATTTACGAATTATGTGACTAAAAATACCAGATGCAATTAATTGTTCATAATATTCCCGTATTTTTAACGAGACCCAAGGGAAAAATGCAAATTTTATGTAAAAACTCCGGAGAAGTCGGGCAAATTTAAGAAATAAGTAAAATCCCTTTGTAAATTCGCGTTGATTTTTATCAGCGCGTGTATCCGACGTACAGCTTGATCGACTACATTTCCGACACTTGACGCATGTCACGCGTTACGGGCGTAGAATTACGAGAATAGAATTTTATCGCGAGTTACGTAAGATCGTCCACGGGTTTTACGCAACGGGGCTTTTCCCGTCGGCCGCCGGCGGGGCTGCTTTTGAATCCGGGACCCGCGCGCCCGCCGGTACAGTGCCACTTCCGCACGACCGGCCAGGGGGCGCGCACGGCGGTTCCGCTGCGCGGATTTAAAAGTAACCGTAAACCGTGCGGCGCGTGTGGCTCGATGGGACCGACCGGTGTCGTGCGTGTGTCCCGCATAAATAGACAAACAAAATAATTAAGTAAATCGAGCGAGGCCGATCACCCGGGGGGAACGTCGTCCTTCGCGCGGATTGTGATGTCCGCGGGACTCGTCGGATCGGGGAGTCGAGCGAGGTAATCAGCTGAGTCTGCGACTCGCGGGGTTCGCCGGTCCCGTGCATGCTCGGACTTTCAGCTTGTCTCATATCCCCTTGTATCTTCTTTTATAAGCGACCTTGCGAGGTCGTGAACGGCCGGCGGCACGGAGCCGAGGTGAGGATGTGCGACCTGATAGACCTCGACAGTCCGGACGTGAGGGGCGCGCTGGAAGCGGCGAGGCTCGCGTCGCCGCTGATCCCGGCGCCGGGGAGCGTCGAGCGCGGCGCGGAGCCGGCGACGGGGAGGCGCGAGAGCGACGGCAACAACCCGTTCGACCGAGTGCTGCACGAGACCGCCGAGTACGTGAGCAAGAGGGGCGATCCCTTCGAGGTGATGCTGCAACGTGCCCTGAGGCCCAAGGACTGGAGGGGCGCGCAGTCGCCCGCGAGATTCACGGACGACTTCACGCCGAGGCGCAAGAAGGCGTACCTGAAGACGCGGAACAAGACGCTGGACGTGCTGGACGAGTCGTTGCTCGGAAACGGATTCGGCCTGTTCGCCGGGGACGACAGGAGGGCGGAGGCCAAGGCGGTGAGCGTCGACGCCGACGTCCGCGGCAGCAATGCGGCGCACGACACGTTCGTCGTCAAGCGGGAGCCCAAGGTCGCCGAACCGGACGCGCTCGAGCTGTCCATCTTAAATCAATCCGCGATGAACGACACGCTGCTGGAGGTGCTGCCCAAGTTGAGCGAGAGCGACGAGGCGGCGCCTCTCCCAGAGAGAGGCGCGTCGTTGGAAGAACCCGCCTTCCCCGTAAACGTCACACTGCTCAAGCCACCGAACGTTCAGCGCTCGTTGTCGCAGGGGACTGGAGGCTCGCCGACGGAGCCGCCGTGCCCGAACAGGAGGACGCAGTCCGTGGCGGACGGCCGGCGGAAAGCCAGCGACGACTGCAGCGCCGCGTCGTCTTTCCTGGACAGGGGCTTCTTGGAGAGCAAACTGAGCGAGCGGTCTGCGTTCTCCAGCTTGTCCAACGTCTCGTCCATAACGAGACCGACCTCTGCCTCGCTGTCGTCGGTGCTGTCGTACGATCCCATCAATCACGCGTTCTTGGACAGCGGCTCGTTGAGGACGAGCCGGGAGAGGATGAGCGCGACCGAGAGCTCGGTGGACACGAAGCGGCCGGGGCAGTGCGACTTGGCGGACCTGACGGAGAGGCTCGACAAAGTGAAACGCGCGATGAATTATGCGGCCGACGTCTCGAGCGCAGCGAGGACCGGCTCCAATTCCGCGAGAGGGGACGACAACGACCGGAGCGCGGATGATAAATTGATAGACGTCGATGTATTCGTGCCGGAACAAAATAAGGAATTCAACAGGAGCTCCTCGTCCTCCACTTGCTCCTCGGACTCTGTATTCGCTGTGAGATATTTAATACGATTGTTGAATTACCTTGCTAGGAGTTTGCCTGATTTTAATCGCGCAATACTTGAATTGTTGCAGAATACGAGTAAAGTCGAGAAGTCGATACTGAAGGAGGCCAAGGTGCTCGCAAAGACCTTTGAGGAATTGGCATTGAAAACGGACTCCGGATGTAAGTATTTTCGTACACTTGCCGTAACGTTTGCAACCTGTTCGTAGCTCATCACTCATTGTCTTTTCTCTTTGCCAGCCAGTATAGATGATTTTATCTCGAACAACACCCTGTGGATGTCGGAGCTATTGCCGGCGTTTGAGGACGAGCCTGTGGTAAACGACTTGATTGAGTTGCCTGTGTCGCCAGGAGGAAACTCGAAAGATGTCGGGAGCAATGGTGAGAAGGAATCTCCCGCAAGCGTTGGCAGCACGGAAGAAAATCTATGGAAGATATTGGAATCGTCGTTCACCGGAGTTACCGCTGTAAAACAAGACGTACCCTCGTTGTTGTCAGATCTCAGGAAATTAATTAAGACAGAAAGTAATCCGGAAGCTAAAAAGTTACTTGATAATTTGGAGAACATGTTGGATATTAAATACAAGGATAATACGGAGCTATTGGCGACCTATTTAAATGCATCGGACGAGTCGCCAAGTCCTCGGAAAGAGCCTTCGGACAGCGCCGATAAATCAATTATAAATAAAAGCGAGGGCGGTAAAGAATCGTCTCGAGAGAAGCTCTGTAAAACTGGAGAGCTGCCAGACGTAAATTATACATCGGTAGACACGTCGCGAGACAATGTCAGCAGTGAAAAATTGTCTGCTACGTCTTCCTCGTGCAAAGGCGACAACGAGGATCGCGCGAGTACTGCAAATTCGTCTGAGGAGAGGGACAGTCTGATAGATAAAAAGATAGCGGTAGAGTTGTTGATAAATCTCCAAAAATTGTTGAGCGGTCAAGCTGAGGATGACACGACAATACAGTTACTTAAAAATATAGGGAAGGCGTTAAATGTCGCGGTAAATAATAACGTTACGACTAAAACGCCGGCCAGTTGCACTAGAGAGCAAATTGCTCGACCGACCGTACCTGCGAGAGCCTCGGGTTCTGGTTGCAACGCGCATTCGTCCGAGCTCTCGGTAAAAGTAGCGCACAGACGAAGCTTGGAGTCAAAGTCAAAAGTGAGTAAACCTTTGTTATCTTCTACGGTGCGAGTACAATTGTTCGCTTATACGTCACTACGTTTTCAGCCGTTCGAGAAGCCAGTTAGAAGAAGCGTATCCGCAATCGAGCCGCCCAGGGGTGCGTCAAACGCGCGAATACCCAGATGTAGGGACGCGCCCAAGTTGACGGACCGCCAGAAGCGTTTTTCCAGCGACCCCGGATTCGTTAGCAATCTATCGAATAAAAAACTTGCGATTCCAGAAGCGCGCAACGCAAGAAAAGGTAAATTATCCAGTAAGAATATTATCATCGTCGCCAGCAATAATTAACAGCATCGGTGATTTTTATCGACCGTGTCTGGCAATTTTTACAATACAGAAGATTTATTGCGAAAAATATTACCTCAGCCAGGGTTTGAACCTGGACCTCCCTTCTCTCTAGACGGGCGTCTCAACCAATTCGACCACCGAGGCATATGATAATATTAGTCGCAATAACGGTATATAGATGTTGCGCGTCTATTTCGACTTTTTACAACTGCGCGCCGATAAGGGCTGGCGACCGTGCACAGAACTGTCGATACGCGATTTTTAAATTTCCCTGTCCCATTCCCCCTATTACGGAGGAGCACCATGTTTGAGGTCAATGGTGTATAATCGACTGGTAAGGATATTCTTAAAAGTCGCCAGCAGTAACGAACAGCATCGGTGATTTTTACTGACCGTGTCTGGCAATTTTTATAATACAGAAAATTCATTGCAAAAAATATTACCTCAGCCCGGGGTTTGAACCTGGTAAATCAACGAGACACGGTAGTGTCTCGCGCCAAGTATAAGCGAAAAGTTTTGAAGTGACAAGCTAAACCACGCGCTTATGTTGTACGCCCGCGTGCACACTGTCATCGAGTGACGATTCACTTCGTATAATTACACGTTGAAATTTATTTCAGCGGAAGGCGGACCTGATAGCAAGAAGGAGAAATCCATCGCTATGAGCGATGTTAAAAGTTTGCTGAAGAAACGGACGGACGCGGTCAGTAAAAGAGGTCCTATGAAAGCGGTGCATCCTGTGGACAATATGCAAAAGAAGAGAGGTGCGTTTAAATCTGTCGAAAGAATTCAAGGAAACGTTAATTAACTGATAATATCCTCGAAGCTTATTAAGGCCCGGCTTCACCGATGTCGTTTAACTTTAAGCCTAGCTTACTTCGTTCTTTGTCTACTTCGAACTGTTACCTCAGAAAGAGACAAACGTGAGTCAAACCGAGATCGAAGTTGGGCGACGTTTGGTGAAACCGGACCTAAGTAAAGATGACTGATAATTTACAATTACATTGATCGTACAAAAATTGATGAGTTATCGACCGATAACGTGACCCACTGATTTTCGTGCAGCATCGCTCGGGAGGCAGACCCAGTTTTCTCAAATCACCACGCCACCAAAATCAAACAAAGCCACTCCACTGGGTAATAAGCTAACCAGCAGCACCCCGATTTCGGACAGTAATTACACGCGTGAGAAATCCGCCAAGTCCAAGCCGATAGCCTCGTCAACGCCGGACGGCCAGAAGAGCAAGAGCGCACCGTTGACGTCTGCTAATAAAAAACGTAACCTTTCCTGCGATATCTCGCCAGTGACTACGCATGTAAACACGAGCGGCAGCGACGAGCGGAAAGACAGTCCTAAAAGGTGAGAGCGAACCGTCTCAGAATGGCGATCGTCTCGTTCTAAACGATTTCTCTCTTTCTAAAGCAACAGTTTGCAAGAGACAGAGAACGAATTAAGCTAGGCTTAAAGTTAAACAACGTTGGCGAGACCGGGCCGTAATAAGCGTGCGGTCCGTTCGTTGATTTCAGACTGTCCAAGCTGCCGACCCCGAAGAAGTGTACAACGCCCACGCGTCGGCAAAGCGATGCACTCGGCGTTCCGAAATTCCTGACGCCGCCGCCGAGACATCATTCGTCCGCCAACACGAATAACCTCAGGTCTCCGAAACGCTTGAACAGGAGCTTAATCAATTTCCAACGATACTCGCCTGTGAGCGAGAAAGGGAACGACGGGAGGACGAGGCAGAGTCCGCTGAGGGACACCAACAGAATCACTGCGAAAGTCAAGCCGCTTAACTTGGTATGTCTGGGGCCCGGGTTTTCATTTGCCGGTTACCTGTTAACCAGAAGTTAGCCGACTCTCCATCTTTTTCTCTATTCTCATCTGAGAAGAGACGGAGAGTCGACTAGCCTCGGGTTAACGATTAGCCAGAAAAGTGACAAATCAGGCCTGTGGCGTCTTTTGTATGAGAGTGTCATCGCATCAACTCGTTTTACACTTTGTGCGCAGATTTCGAAAATTAAGCGACACAGCGTCGGTGACTTCGAGAAGGAGAACAGTTACGTGTAAGGGAGAAGAAGAGGAAACGGGAATTAGAATGAATCATGCGTCGGAGATTGCCTGCAGTAAAATCGTCGTGCGAGACGCGGTTGTCCTTTTACTTTTGTGATATTTGTATGTTTTATAATAAAATATGCGGCGTGAAAGTGTGCGATTCGGCCGTTCGCGAATCCCGAAGCTCGATCTACGGTGTGCTCTTTTACATCTGGACTTGTATTTTATACAAGCGGATCGAAACGCGTGAAAAATTTATCGACGGTGCGCGATGGCACACGGTACGGTTTATCGATCTGCACACATTTTTTTTAAGTATCGGCTATAAAGTGGAATTTCTAAACGCGAAGAGTACAGTGTAGATCGGGGCTTGAATCTCGTCAGAGCGTCATACACACGCATGTGTATCCTTGGAATTCACCTACACGGCTTTACAAAACGGCTCGAGTTGATCTAAAGCGACGCGATAACGAAGTCCGAGATTTGTGAACGGGCCGACGAGAGATTCGGAGAACGGCGAATCGCACGTGAAGGCTTGGGGCTAAGAGTCCGATGATTTTTCAAATTTTAAATGCTTGAAAAATTTCGTTTTCCTCCCTCGCTTTCACAATTTCCTTCACCGCTTCTGAGACCGGCGAGCCTTCCGGCGAAAACGGCGCGCGTCGAGGGCGCTCTGGCTATTTAACAATGAAAAAACCGTGTTGTGTGTTTTTATGCGTGGTATTGAGAAAAAAATGTCGATATCCGTTCCGCGTCGGGTCTGGGATTAAAATTTAAAATTGAAGAGGCTGCGGCCGCGACCCGGGCGGTTCCACCGCGCATGCGCCGCCGCCCCTCCCCCTCCACTCTCTCCGTACGCATGGTGCGGGTGCGCGCGCAGCGCCGGTCACGTGACCAGCCGAGAGAGCGGAAGTCGCAACGACGCTGCGTCGGGATTTTCCGCGAGATAAAAGCAGCGTTGTATCGTGAGGGTTAGCTTCGCGGGTGCCGCGTTGTTTCCGAAAATCATCTTTCTCGAGAAAAACTTGGGGTAAGTTAATATCCCGCCCGAACTTCGCTTTCCGACCCCGTGCGTCGTAACTCGAGCGGTTGCGCCGAGGGGATTAAAAGCCAGGGAAGCGAATTTGATCGAGTGCCGGTCGACTCGATCGACGATTGCTTTATCGGGTAAAGGCAGGTTTGTGCGAGAGACCGTAAACCAGAATCGGTGAAAATGAGCCAATTGCAGTCAACTGTTCTCGCTTTCGACGGTGATTGAACAATTTTTGCCGATTCCGGCGTAATTTAACAGTTACGGCCTCGCGTAAACCGGCCAGACGCGATATTTCGTCAAGGCGGTTAACTTTGCACGCGCGAGAAGGATCAGACGAGAGAAGAGCCGTCCATTTCTGTTCGACGTAGATTAACTTTACTCTCGACTCGGCCCGCTTATCTTTATCTAGTTGCGAGAACTAGAGACGCCGCTGCGAGGAAAATTCTATCGGTACAGCGTTAATAGTCGGTCAAGCTGGTTCGGTCCGAGTCGCGACCACCCGCGAGTCATTTCTCACCGCGTAGAGAGATTCGCGTTCGAGGCGTTTTCACCATCGAGCGAACCGCGGCCGTAAACTCTGCTTTGATTTACGTCTCTTCACTCGGAATCTGCCGTGCAACGCGTTAGTTTCCGGCGCGCTGACGCGCAGCGCGCAGAGTCTTTTTGCCTGAACCGGCTGCGCTCTGAGACTCGATCGCGAGTCTTCGGGCTTGTTTTCTGTTTGCTACACCGGCGAACTGGTGCAACAAATTGGAGTGAGAGAAGCATAATTTTCTTCTCATTCTAGCTTGCTGCACTAGTTCACCAGCGCAGGTACGGAAAACAAATGTTTTGTTTCTAGCGTGAACTCGTGAAAAGCGAGAAAACCTCATCGACGAGTTTAATATTTATTAGGGTTGGGAAGTAACTCGTTACTTGCAACGCAGTTACAGTTGCAGTTACTTTTTTTTGTAACTTTAACTTAACTTCGTTACTTTCTCTTCGTCTGTAACTGTAACTTAACTCGGTTACATTTTTTTTATAACTAGTAACTAATTTAACAGTTACTTTATATGTATTTTTTAACCTCCATAGATCGCATTAGGCCTCGCATTTGCGCATAAACGCCTCTATCGACACTTTACCATTCAAATGCAGATTTGATATCTTTATTTTCATTGCAAGAGAGCAAGTGCGAAGTAACGACTCGTTATTTTTTGTGTAACTAACTGCAACGCGTTACTTTTCAGAATTGGTAACTTGTAACTGTAACTAGATACTCGTACTCTTATAAAGTAACTTTTACAACCCTGCTCTAACTTCGTTACTTTCTCTCCGTCTGTAACTGTAACTTGACTCGGTTAAATTTTTTTTATAACTAGTAACTAATTTAACAGTTACTTTATATGTATTTTTTAATCTCCATAGATCGCACTAGGCCTCGCATTTGCGCATAAACGCCTCTATCGACACTTTACCATTCAAATGCAGATTTGATATCTTTATTTTCATTGCAAGAGAGCAAGTGCGAAGTAACGACTCGTTATTTTTTTAGTAACTGTAACTGCAACGCGTTACTTTTCAGAATTGGTAACTTGTAAGTGTAACTAGTTACATTTTTAATGAAAAACCCGTAACTGTAACTAGATACTTTTATAAAGTAACTTTCCCAATCCTGCTCTAACTTCGTTACTTTCTCTCCGTCTGTAACTGTAACTTAACTGAGTTACATTTTTTCGATAACTAATAACTAATTTAATTAGGTATTTTTTAAACCTCCACAGACCGCACTAAGCCTTGCATTTGCGCATAAACGCCTCTATCGACACTTTACCATTCAAATGCAGATTTGATGTTATTATTTTCATTGCAAGAGAGCAACTGCAAAGTAACGACTCGTTATTTTTTGAGTAACTGCAACGCGTTACTATTCAGAATTGGTAACTTGTAACTGTAACTAGTTACATTTTTAATGAAAAACCCGTAACTGTAACTAGATACTTTTATAAAGTAACTTTCTCAACCCTGATCTAAAGCCCAATGTCCACGATGCTAGAACTTGGTCCAAGTCCTTGGTCCGAGAAACGTATAGCCAATAAAATTGCCGCTTTTCCGTAAAAGCTACAAATTGATTGGTTACAAATTTTTCAATCCAAGAACTTGGACCAAGTTCTAGTATCGTGGACATTGGCCTTAACTTAACTTCGTTACTTTCTCTCCGTCTGTAATTGTAACTTAACTCAGTTACATTTTTTCGATAACTAATAACTAATTAATTATATATTTTTTAAAGCTCCACAGATCGCATTAGGCCTCGCATTTGCGCATAAACGCCTCTATCGACACTTTACCATTCAAATGCAGAGTTGATGTTATTATTTTCATTGCAAGAGAGCAACTGCAAAGTAACGACTCGTTATTTTTTGTGTAACTAACTGCAGCGCGTTACTTTTCAGAATTGGTAACTTGTAACTGTAACTAGATACTCGTACTCTTATAAAGTAACTTTTCCAACCCTGCTCTAACTTCGTTACTTTCTCTCCGTCTGTAACTGTAACTTAACTCGGTTACATTTTTTATAATTAGTAACTAACTTTATAGTTACTTTATATGTATTTTTTAACCTCCACAGATCGCATTAGGCCTTGCATTTGCGCATAAACGCCTCTATCGACGCTTTACCATTCAAGTGCAGATTTGATATTTTTATTTTCATTGCAAGAGAGCAACCGCAAAGTAACGGCTCGTTACTTTTCAGAATTGGCAACTTGTAACTGTAACTAGTTACATTTTTAGCGAACGAAAAGTGTAACTGCAACTAGATACTTTTACAGAGTAACTTTCCCAACTCCGATGTTTATCAATGAAATCTATCACTTTCCACGCGAGTTGACGCTAGAGGAAAAGGACTCGTTCGATCCCGCGGAGTTTATCCCGTCCGTTCTGCGTCTCAGCGCGAGAGAAAGATAAATTGTGAGCTAGTAACAGCCAGTCGGGCGATAAGGCGCGCGGACTCCATGCGAACCCGCCCGCACGGCAGGCGGACGTCTCCGGGCACCGGGGCGGCCCGTGTTCGGCCCTGCCGCCGCGCCGGTGCGAGAACTGCGCGTTGCGTGCCATCTTGGCGGTCCGTCCATATCGCGTTCGGTCGCGGCCGGCGTGCGTTCCGTTTTGTTTTCCGTCGAAATCGGCGCGGCTGGCAGACGCGCGTCCGTCGGACCGCGCGTGAACGCTCCCGCGGCTGTCGAGGTACGTGACGTGGGCAACGGCGGAGCGGCGCGTCGCACTCTCCGCAAGGTACGTACTGGAATTCATTTCGGTTAGGCCCGCGATTGGGTTAACGCGCCATTCCTCTCGGCCGGCGAGAGAGAGAGGGAGGGAGAGAGAGAGAGAGAGAGAAAGAGATACACAAAGAGAGCGCGTCGGGCGACTCAAACGGCGCGTCCGAGTCCACTCGATTATCGCGCCGGACGCGCAGGAGAGGCGATCCGCGTTGCTTTTCCGATAAGTTAAAGCCGGGGGGTGACGCGGCGAGTCGGGCGCGGCGTCGCTCCGCGAGAGAGGAGCGCGCGCGGGAGCAGACGACACGCGCGCGAGGAGCAGACGACGGCGGCCGGCGACGGCGGCGACGAGCGTTGGTGGTGGTGGTGGCGGCGGTGGCGGCAGTTGCGGTGGTGGCGCGCGTGAAAGACGACGAGAGGACGAGGGGACCGCGTACCCCGGCAAGTTTGGTAAGTTTCGCGAGCGCCGATCGCGGGGCCCGCGCGCGCGGGTCCGCCCGATCCGGTTCGGACGCGCCGCGCGTTCCCTCGCGCGAGAGAATCCCACGTCCCGGCTCGCGCGCGCTCACGCGCGCGCGATCCGCTTCTCGGACGCGGAGAGCGGAGCAGCGTCGTGCGTGCGTGCGTGCGCGCGCGTCGCACGCGATCGAGGGCCGAATCTCGTCGATGCGCGCGCGATCGACGTCGGCGCGGCGGCGTGTCTCGGCGAGGCTGCTGCGATCCGCTCGAGAAGGAAACGTGCGCCAGCCGGGAACGGCCGGGCCGATGAGCGCGAGCGAGCGAGAGAGAGCGCGCGCGCGCGCGAGTAGCCGAGAGAACCGCGCGCCGGCACACACCGGGCACACGACACGCAAAGTGTGACCGTGCACGCGCGCGCGCGCGCGTTGAGGCGCGCACGCACACAGCGTCGCCGTACGACGACGACGCGCCGCCGCCGCAGCCGCCGCCGCCGCCGCCGCCGCCGCCGCTGCCGTGGCGGCGGCTGCCGACGTTTTCACGCTGGTATTCGCACGGTCTCCGCGGCGGTGCGAGGTTCGTCGGAGGTTAGAGTGGCCATCTTTCTCGCGCGTACGTCCCGGACCGGAGATCGCTCCTGCCGCGCCGCGCAACCTCTCCTGCCGCCGTCGCTCGTTGATTGCCGAGGATCGCGGTAAAGCCCGCCGCCGTCGCGCGTCACGTGGCGGGTCGGCGCGACCCCCGGGGTGCTTTCGCGCTCGCGCTCGCGGCGCCGAGGTTGCGCGCGGACCCAGGTAGCGGTGGTTGCGCGCTTATTACGCGCTTTTCGGCACGCAGGTAAGTGCGACCCGCGTACTTGGCCCGGCGCGCGTGGAGAAAAAGTGTCCCCGGGCTCTCCTTTCTCTCTCTCTCTCTCTCTCTCTCGCTCGCGCTCTCTCGCTCTCGTTCTCCGTTTCGCGCGCGCGTGTGTGTCATCTCGCGGCGAGGGAGAGAAAGAGAGAGAGAGGAGACGTATAGACGGACGGACGGAGGACCGTCCCGGCGATCGGTCCCCCCGATCGGCGGTCAGGTGCGCGCGAATCGGGTCGCTTCTCCCCGGCGACCGGGGCGAGACCGCGAGACGTTCGCGTCGCGCCTTGTGGCCATTGTTTACGAAACGCGAGAGAATCCCGGGGGGTCCGGAGCCGCGGCGGTCATTTCGGCGTACGGTGTCGGTCCGCCGGACGCGCGATTGGCGCGGCGTGTGCCGGCGCGGCGGCGGCGGTCCCGCGCGCCGCGAGGACACCGGGGCGCTCTCGCTTCCCCACGCGGGGCGATCGCGGAGCGCGGTTTTTCCCGGCGTCTCGCGCCCGCGAGCGTAGCGGAGGGTGTGAAACGCGCATCGCGCTCCGCAGTTCGATGTTCGATCCGCGGCGCGCCGCGCCGCGCCGGCGAGAGATTATCACGCGCGCGCGTGTGTCCTTCTCGCGGCGCGCCTCTCTCTCGCTCGCTCGCTCTCCCTCTCTGTTTTTTCTTTTTCCTCCCGGCGTCCGCGGGGGACCGCGCGCGCGGCAGCAGGGCGATTCGTGGGAGCGATAAGAGACGCGCGCGCGGCCGCGATTCAAAAAGTTTTCTCGGAAGCGTCGGGCGCCGCCGGTCCGCGCGACGCACACGGAGGGGCGAGCAGAGCGAGAGAGAGAGAGAGAGAACGGGACACCGAGCGATATCGTCGCCGCGCGCGGAGTAGCGCGCGCGCTCCAATCGAAGGGGTCGCTTCGGCGTGAGGGACGTTTGGCGCGTTTCACGGTGCGGTGCCATAATCGCGCGCGCGCGATCGACTGCCGCCGCCCTCGATCATTCCGCGGCCGCGCTCTCTTCGCGTGACGTTTTCCCCCCCGAGATCCTTCATCCGCTCCGCGCCCGGGCGAGGAGGAGCGCGCGTCGCGTCGCGTCGCGGTGCGTGTCGTGTGCGGCACGAAGATCGGATTTATCGCGCGGGCAATACGGCGATACGCGCGCGCGTACCGCGCCGGAGAGCGAGAGGAAGCGCGGCCGACACGCGCGCGGGTTCCTCGCGGGACCACGCTCGGGTCTCGTGACGCACAATTTAAATTTGGTATCGGTGCGGCACGGCAAGGTACGGCGCGCGGCGGTGCGGCGGTGGTGGCGGCGACGTCGACGTGCGGCGCGGCGGCGGACCGGCGCGGCGCGGCGCACACGCTCGACACGCCGGAGCGAGAGGATCTCTCGGCGCGGATCGCGCCCGCGCCGCATCCAAAAGCCTAAAGATGTGCGTTTGCTTTGCGAAGGTAGCCCGGAGCGCAGTTGGTGTGATCGTCGCCCAGTTCCGATAAGAAGCGTTGGTCATCGTCGCCATCCCCGGCGGCAGCGGCAGCGAGAGGAGGAGTCCGGTGGCTTTTCGGTCGGCAGCGGGGCCGGCGGGCGAATAATCACGAGGGGGAAGACGCGGGCCGAGGCGAGCGACAGAGTGCGAGACGCGCGGAGTCTTGCCGCCACCCTCCCCCCCGCTCGGCGTATATCGATATTACGAATGACGAAGATGCAGCAGCAGCCGGTGCAGGCGGCGCCGCAGATCGCCCACGAGGAGCACATACTCGAGGCGATCGATCAGCTACGGCGTCGCAAAGCGCGCCCCGATGCCGATCGCATCTGCAACTATCTGCTGCGCAACTACGCGGTGGACGCGCGCGACACGATCGCCGACCTCCACCGGCTGATCGAGGTCGAGAAGGTGATCCAGGTCGATTACAAGGGCAACACCAGCTACCGCAACGCCAAGAAGTGGACGCGCCTGCAGCTGTTCAAGAACCGGCCGGAGGGCTTTCTCAAGGAGAAACTCAACTCGGGCATGGTGTCGAGCGCGGTCGCCGAGCTCGTGGTCGAGGAACCGGACTACCTTGACCAGGGCGTGCCCGCGTGCCGGCTGATCGAGCAGCTCCTGGACGGCGTCTCGAGCCCGACGTCGCGCCGCGTGGTCGAGGAGTTTCTCGGCCGGGAGGTCGCGAGCGGCAATCTCGCGCGCCTGTCCAACGGCAATTACTCGCTGGTGGCGACGTCCGACATGACGACGGACGCGACACCATCGCGCCGCGGCGGCGGCGCCGCCGCCGCCGCCGCCGACACGCAGCCGTCCTCCTCCGCGGCCGTCGCCTGCGCCCTGGAGAACGGCAACGCGACGCAGCGGCGTGTCGGTAAGGAGGCTGCTACCAACGGCGCCGTCAGCAATGGCACTAACGGCTTGACCACCAAGGCGGCCAAGGCGACGGCGGCAGCGGCGGCGGCGGCGGCGGCAGCAGCGGCGGCGGCGGCAGCAGCAGCGGAACTCTACGAGTTCAACGAGACTGATAACCTCACCGACACCACGTCGAACACGTCGCGATCGTCCTCGCGACAGGCCAACGACAGTCCGAAGCTGGATCAGCAGCAGCAGCAGCAGCAGGATTGCGTGAAAAAGGAGGAGGAATGCTACGGTGCCGACGTCGAGAAGAGCGACGCCGAGCGCGGCGCAAGTGCGTCGCCGCCGACCGCCGCGGTGGCGTGCAACGGCGGCGGCGACGTCGTCGACGGTGGCCAGCGGCAGCGCGACTCTCTCGAGGTGGTGGTGCCGACGTCCACGTCCGGCGAGAACGATGTCAAGGAGGAACCAAAGAGCAACGATGTCCAGAAGACGACGTCTAACCTTAAAAGGTCCACCAAGGCCGAGCGTAAGCAGCGCTTGTTTGCGAGGACGGACGACCGTATGGACATCGAGATCAAGTTCGAGGACTATCAGAGCGTCAAGGACGAGCGGGAGAAGCGCGAGGAGGCCTCTCGGCGGTCCAGCGAGGATCGCGAGGACGAGGACGCCGGCAGGAGCTCGTCGACGAACACGTCCCCGACTCCGTCCAATGTAAACACTGGTGGATTCCGTAGCGCCCGGAGGAAGGTAACGTGAATGTTGATGTAGTCGATATCTTTGAATTCGGATCAAGTTTCACTTACGTCTACTTTGACGTAAGATTCGAAACGTAAGCTTGTCACCTGGAGTATTCGCTTCTGGATGATGTTAGACGAGTACTTTTATACATTGCAGTGAGATAGCATTGATATCTTGAAGATGGCAAACGTGTAGAGATCACCGATGTAGTTTGAACCTAAATTTTCCCCCCCTTCGACAGTGTCCGTCCCGAGGGGGAAACCGCTGAGGGCATTGTGGTGTACAGATTTGCGGCATTACTGGGCATTAGTTTGGGCTTGGGCCTTGCTGGGGCGTTACGAGATAAGATAAGCTAAAGTGATGCCTAGTGGGCATTGGTGTGCAAGATTTTGGTCAGCGGTTTCCCCCTCGTTTCATCCCAAGTGTTTGAAAATTATTGAATATTCTGTCTGTTCTTTCAGAGAGCCAGGAAGGTATTCGATCCTTCGGATAACAATCTGGTGAAGCGCAAGCGTGGCAGACCAGGTAATCATAATAAAGCCTCGTTGATGCAAGACTCTCAGGACTCGGCTGCAAAGGCAACTGTCAAGGATGGACCGTGCAGGCAGTGCAGCCTCTGCGCCAAGGAGAAACAAGAGGCTCTTGTGGCTTGTAGAGATTGTACAGTGCGAGGTAATTCTCGAGCACGATCCAAACTAATCGCGATTGATTTTCCTCGCAAATTTCTCATCAACGTGTTACGTATACTTGCAGCGCATCCGAGTTGCATTTATAGTCCGGAGGAGTTGCTGCAGAAAGCCAACAGCAATTGGCAGTGCGAGCGCTGCAAGACCTGCGTGATATGTTGCGAGACCTCCGACGCGGTAAGTCGACCACGCCTCTCGGCTTCCTGTTTCGCGTGACTTCGTTCTCTATCCCGTTTATTAATTTTCGTTTCGTTTCTCGACCCAGGGCCCGCTAGCGACTTGTTTTAACTGCAACGACGCCTATCACTCGCACTGTCATGCGACCCGCATCACAATTAAATCAAACTCCAAGTGGCATTGCCACGATTGCTCGCAGAGACAGCGCAAGACGAACGATAGTCAAAACTCTCATTCGATCAACGGAACAAGCAGACCGGACAGCCCGTCCAGTACAACCATCTTGCCGCCGGTACTGAGTCCGCAGGTTTCCCCCACGAGGGGGGATCAGATGGAAGACGACGGCCCGAAAGGACCCATCGATCTGAATATTCCTGATGCGAGGGGTTGGACTTCCGAGCAAGTGTATCAGTACTTTGCCAGGTTGTTTCCCAAAGAAGCCGAAGTCTTCCGGCAGCAGGTAACAGTTTAATTAATCTACTTAGTGGACAAAATATTCTTTATGTAATTGTCTCTATGTACCACTCGTTCGTTTGCATTCGCTAAGCGCCGGTCGCATTTGTGTTCCAGGAAATAGACGGCCACGCGCTTCTAATGATGAACCGGAAGGATGTTCTGTGCGGGCTTAATTTACTGCTTGGTCCTGCGTTGAAGATATACCGGCACGTTTTGAAGCTACAGTTCCGCAGAGACGATCCCGAGTTGTACTGGCAATAATACGAATTTGGAAATTGATCTCTATTATATCACACGCGTCTTAATCTACGAGATTTAATTTGTACTTGAAACAAAATTGAATCTTTTAGATTACGATTACTCTAAGTTGTAGTCGGTCTCCACGTTGTACATATGAAATGTATTGCTAAAAAATCTCTTACGAACAATAACGATATCGCATTTGTTCTCCATAGTAACAAAGACAATGTTCGAGGCGGGCTTTATTTGCTGTTAAATCATACGTTGGGAATATTGGCACATTTTTTTTCTGATAAAGCGCTGAGACGATCTTAAGCTCTATTGGCAATAATATGGATATGATACCTTGCATAGAATTTTGCGACATTGCACACGTGATCTGTACAAGCCTTTTTATAGATTAGGAACATAACTCAGTCTACGCTCCGCATGAGATACACAAGATTTCCCACAAATGATTTGTCATGCCGAAGCGGTACCGATCCCGCAGATACACGCGCAATTACGCAATTACATTTACACGATGTACATACATTCTGCCTTTTTCATATGCGGTATTTTATAAGATGGAGCAGATACTTCTATCTCCAAAATTGTTACTTGTTAATGTTAAATTTAAGCCCGTATTGAGAGTTGTGCACGTTTGTTCCGATTGAAGGATCACTGCGATACGTGTGAAACGGAAAAAGAGAAATTATCGACTGATTTTACACGACTTTACGTCATAAACTTGTACTTTATTTTCACAAGTTTCATTACATGTAGGGAGTAATACATTTATTTGTAGAACGTAGTTACGTAAGATTCTACTAATTAAGGAACACAATACTTTGGTTTTACATGTACTTTTCTATTACGCAATAAATATTTTGATATTTATAACTACGTCATAGTAACATCCTCCAGGGACTAGTATCTAATTGCGGATCTCTCGAGATACGCGCCGACATGCACGGGAATGCTCTAGTTGCTTTCAACAAATCGCATCGAAGGAGAACACACGCGTAATCTTACCCTCTATACTCGGTATATATCGGTAACAACGAGATTCAATTCAAGAAGTGTATATATATATATATATATATATATCTTACAAACAGGAACTTTAACATTTATACATATACGTACGTTCCTAGATCACACGTAAGTTTGGTTTAGTTTAAAACTTTCAAGATTGCGTCACGGCACTACTACAAATCAATCGCTGCATAAATATATTATTCTTATACAAAATGTGTTCACAGGTGTCCTGGGAAAAACAAAGGAAATAAAATTGTTACTCTCACACGCGTGAGCGAAGAGCGTAATTCTTGCTCTGCAAGAAAAAAAGTAGTGCAAAGGAAGTTTTCTAACAAACGCCGCAAATGATGCACGCATGTAATGCGCGTTAGTATCGTGACACCTCGCAGTCTCGTGTATCTCTGAATAAAGAGCAATAAGACTCTAATCACATATCGCTAGCTATTGAAATTGAGAGAATGCGTTACACATGTAACAATAAATTACCTTAGAATATATACGCTATAAACAACTTCTAACGTATGATACAGTTGAGATTTTATAAAAAAGATTCGTGCGGAATGCGCGTGCCTATCAATGTGCGTGTGCATTATATACTTGTACTATATCTGCAGAGATAACCGTAATTCTCGCGCATATCTTGTTTACGGAAATACAATGTCACGATCGTTATCGATGCTACGTAACGAATGTCAAGCGGTGAAAACAATGTGCCGCGTTGAGAAAGTAGCAATTCTAATCTAGCGGAGACGCGCGAAATTGAAAGAAATCTTAATTCGTACGGACAAACTTCAGTGCTCCTTTTCTTTTCTTTTACAAAGAAGGAGACTGATATAAATATTTTATATAATACAAAATAGTTATATATGTATATCTTACAATATTCTTTTAGCAGACTCGAATACAATACATACATCACGGCGTGCACGCTCACGGTTTTAAATATTGTACTATTATCATCTCGACTCCCGGACGACGGCTTGCCACGAAACAAGAAGAGCGATCAACTCAAGTGACACTTTGATTACGCGCCTATATTGTCGTTGGACAAGTTTTACAAGCCCACTCCTGCGAATTTGAACTTGTTCGTTGTACGATAATCCATGTCGGCTTAAATATATACATATACAAATTATGCAAATTGCATTCAGAAAAGACGTAAAGGCAATTTTTGATATTAAAAGTTTGTATCCTCTTCGATATATACACACTTTAAAAACTAACAGATCAGTCTGTAATATCAACGTAAAAGTCTTCAAAAAGCTCGATATTTTACGCAGCTCGATTGGGAAATTTTTTACACTGCCGAATCAGCTCGTCTTCGTCTCGCTGTCATTTGATGGTTACCTCAGCTTATGTATGATTAAATATGCATGTGCAAATGCATCGCCAATTATATTATAAAATAAACCAATGACAATTTGGTTTGCCTATGGCACTCGCTGTAGATGCAATCTAAATGTTCGAAGCGCGATTAAAAAAGATATTCACAGCAATAAATTGCATCTTATTGCACTATTGTATTATGCTAGTAAAACGCGATACAATTACATCAAGTCTTCGTCGAAACGTCGCGACTTAAATGGCATGACCGAACGACTCACTGTATTTCGGCGGCGGTACCTTGTACATCACCGCGTCGTCCGGTATGAATAACGCAAAGTCGGACGAAGAATTGATATTTTCGTAAGGCGTAATTTTGTCCGGGTTATCCTTAACAAACGTATGGTACAACGACGTGACAATCATGAAAAACCAACTGATATCTTTGTAAGGCATGTTTTTGTCCGGGCTATCCTTATACAGACGGTACAACGACATGGGGAGCAAGAAGAAGCAGACGCAGAAGAAAAATCGCGGGCACACAAAGACCATGAACTTCCAAAAGACGGGGATGTCCTTCCTCTCTTCAAATTCGCGTTGAAACGACTCGAATTTCGACGTGGACGCCGCTTGCCTAGCCTCTCCCGAGTAGTCGGAGGACAGGGTGTAATCCATGGTCTACGATTTCATCGGTTATCATCAGATTCACACGAGAGACCCGCTGCTCACTGGCGTCGAGTATTAATTGCTGGAAAATGACACGCTTACCCTGGCGTCCATCGGTATGGTTTTAATGTGGGTCTGCGGCAGCTTGAAGCCGTCGGAATCCCACCATCTGGGAAGTAGTTCCTTCCGCAACCCGGGATCGGTTAGTATGTCGTTCTCCGGTATGTCAGGCGACGTTGACGAAACGTCTATGCTCTCCTCCGTGCATATGGCAACGGTGAGCAGAGACAGCAGGTCCGAAATTCGTTGCCTGGCCATGGAATTACAGCCGGTGTTGCAGACGTAGCGATCAATCAGGTTTGCGTAAGCCTCGCTGCACGCTGTCGCAAATGATGTAAAGGACAATTTTGTATCATGAAGGATGTAAGTAGGTACACACTGAATGAGAAATAACGGCAATGACTCTGCAGAGAAAAAGTATAAACGCTTCTAAGCGCACGAATGCGATGAGATTGGGCTAAAGTCTACTGCCAATAAATATCTTTCATAAGCAAAAGTATATAATTATAGATGTCGCTTACAGGCCTCGCAGGCGTTCCGGGTGTCGTTCAAACTGCTCCGCTCCCACTCGTAGCGCAAGTCGACCAGGTTGAAGAACCTGCAGCCTCGCTGGCAGCAGGACTTGACGTACACGCTCTGGAGCAAAACGATTGATCGTACGGACAAATGCAGGAGCGCAAATGTGGCTGAACGCGCACAAACGCGAAACGTATACAAAGGTGAGTATGTATGTAAAAATCGCGTAAAAATCAGGATTACACAGCGCTAACTCGTACATTTGGTAGGCCGACAGGCGTCTTCTCGCACAGGCTGGAGCAGGGATCCTTGCAATTGGATACACTGTCAGCTACGTCCCCGAGGGTCAGTTCCGCGACGAGCAGCACCAACGACGCGGCGATCCTCACGTTCCCCGTCATCTCCGTAGGCGTCTCTCGCTTTCCAGCGCTCTTGCCAACTTCTCGACAGAGGAGGGGCGGGTGTTACTGCCCGCGGGACTCCGTACCCTCACGTTCACGCTTGCGACGCACCGTCGACCGATCGCATCCGGGTCGAGGGCGGCTTCAGGGCTGACAAGCAAACGAATCATTGTTATTTGGATTTCGGGCGGGCGTGACGACGGATCTACTTACCCTGGTCATGCGGCCGGGAGTCTCACATCTGTCACATCGGGGCAATGTCTTCCCGCTCGAAAGTCAAAATCGTAATCGCTGGTAGCGAGATCGGGGAGGGGGATCTAACCTGGGGGACCAGTCTCGTTCTCTCTCGCGTCAAAACTCCTGACGTCCTCCGCAGCTCAACGCGAGCGAAGTACCCGCACGCGGCGGACGATGGAGCGACGTGCGACGACGAGCGATATCGCGACGGGAGCGCGGGGCTGAACTCTGATTGGCCCGGTGCCGTTTCGATGCCTGGCGATTCTCGAAATTGCGAATTGCCTCGTGCGATTTCTCGAACCTGCGACTTTCCGTTGCGGGAAACGTCGCTGCGAATTACGTGCGGAACTGTTCTGCGTCTCTCTCGTGATTTTGTTAGTTTTGTTGTTATTTTGTTGATTGTTACCGCCGAGGAGGACCTCGATGACGCGAGGAGCGACCACAAATATTCTTGCGGAGTGTCGTCGCAATATATAAAACATTGAGCGTCGCCGCTACGCGCCAACAAGATTTCCGGAAATCGCAGTGGGCTGGAAATTTGGGTCACGTTCGGAAACGTTTTTTTCTGAGGAAATTTTACCTGCGAGATGGATCAGAACCATTCTTCAAAAGTAAGTTTTAAGTTTACATTAAAGTTTCAAGTGTCCAAATTTACTTTTCATATTTCCTATTTTTCTAAGGTAAAATTTTAAGGTTATCCAAGGTATATACTTTCCCAAGGGTAACCCGATAATGCCCGATCGCTACCAGGCACACGCATGTAATGTGCATACAAAATTGACCGCGTCGTCGCCGAATCGTACGCCTTTGACGAATAGTGCGGCGCGAGCGCGCCAGAGATTCGTCAGGTGAACTCCGTGCGATCGTAAAGCGTGACCGTACGCCGACGCCCCCGCGATCAGTACCGCGAAAGGCGAGAAGTAGCTAGTTAAAGCAAACGTACGGAAGGTAACGGGAGGTGATAATGAGAGAAATATCCCCAGTAAGCACCAATTAATAGTTACATGACGTTAATATTATAATTTTCCATTCAACAATATAAATGTAATATAACATTATATGTTGTAAGCAATAGTTACATTGTCGAGTAGGAAGTTATAATATTCATGTTATGTAACCGTTGGTGTTTCCTGAGATAGGATTATGTATCGTAGATACGTCGATATTAATTGTAACAATGGTAAATATTAATCATTATCGGTAACTAAAAAATTCGATAACGGGTACGCGCGCAAATCCAAATGAATCTAAAAGCCATTCCCGAAATCTGTATCGTCCCGAACTAATATTGCGCGTTCATTTAATATTATTCATTAATTCGACGCTTTTATGTTTCAGATTGTTTTGGACGATTGTTTTTCTCTATACAAAATTGATGACATGGTAAATCGATACACAATTGTGGATACGCACGGTGCTTTAAATTTTTAACACAGTTGGAGATGTTTAAATTTTTACAATCGATACATCGACGTACATCGCGATATATCGAATATCAAAGCATAAATGTATTATCGAGCTTGTGACGCTGTATGAGATCGCACGAGAGTGCTATATACACTCTGCTCTCTTGTCCTTTTCCAGCCACGTGGCTGTCGATACGCTGTAGGGTATATAAAGTGTTCGTCGCCGGTGCGGTCTGACCATTCCAGTCGGCGTTTCCAGGTCGTGTCGTCATTAACATCACCATATTTCGACCCCGGAGGTGCTGAATCTATCGTCCGCCAAGCCAGTTTTATCATCGTAAGTTCGCTGCCAAGAAAACAGCTCTCTGGATCAGTTGCATTGCCCCGTGCACCGTCGACGAGTTCGGAGAGCACGGGCGCAGAAAGTGCAGCTGAGAAGATCGCTGCTCGTACCTATATTTAAATTTCGCAAACGAAACGGTCGAGAGGTCGTACGGCGAACGAACGCCCCGATCTCCGAAAGAAGGAATATTTAGATTTCACTCCAAAGACACTTTGCACGAATAAGACTTCTTCTAACTTCAGGTTGAAACTCGACTTAAATTTTCTCGTTATCGGAAACTTGATCGCGCCTCGCAAGTTTTTACGTCGTGTAAATGCGCTATCATAATTTGTTATCGTGTACGTATAATTCCATCTTTCGTTTGCAATAAAATACATGTAAGAAACAGATTGTTAGAACCATCTGTCTATTTTGCTTCCTCATAGAGGAAGCTTTGTTTTCGCGAAAAAAATTTTTTTCCAGTTTTCTTCGAAAACATGTTTAGAATGTTCCAAAACGTCCAAAAATTTCATTCAGAAAAAATGTTATGTATGTGTGTATGTGTGTATGTCTGTATGTATCCTTATAAGGTAACTCTAAATAACTTTTTAAATATGTAAGATGGAAAAAAATGTTTAGCATGAAAGTTGTACGGTTTCAAGTACTGCATTACATAGTAATATAAATTTGACCTTGAACATCTTTCTCAAGGTCACGTAAAAATCACCTTGAAATTTTTAATTTGAAACCCATTTTTTTAATGCATATTCTTATAGCTTACCTCAAGAGCTTTCCAAGACACTATAATACATTATATTTTCGTTGGGTACTTTCGGAGTTATGTGCTTTTGAATTGTTTCGTGAAAAAATTTTTTCCAGTTTTCTTTGAAAACATGTTTAGAATGTTCCGAAACGTCCAAAAATCACATTCAGAAAAATTTCGGTAGGTATGTATGTGTGTATGTATGTATGTACGTATGTTTGTATGTATCCTTATAAGGTAACTTTAAATAACTTTTTAAATATGTAAGATGGAGAAAAATGTTAAACATGAAACTTGTACGGTTTCAAGTAATGCATTACATAGTAATATAAATATGACCTTGAACAGCTTTCTCAAGGTCACGTAAAGATCACCTTGAAATTTTTAAATGGAAAACCGTTTTTGTAATGCATATTCTTATAGCTTATCTCAAGAGCTTTCCAAAACACTATAATAAAGTATATTTTCGTTAGGTACTTTCGGAGTTATGTGCTTTTGAATTGTTTTTGAAAAATGTCTGTGGTAG